GTCTGTTGTCAGTCGTCATAAATCGGAAGTCGGGAAACAATATAGAGAGAATGATCAAATTCATGTCTTGTGCCTATACGATATCTTGAGAATGGAGAAATATATAATCCCTTATCTAAAGGACACGCGTATCTGATAAGATCAGAGTTGACTGCGGCTTTTGAAAGCTACGATTGCTGATTAGGTTCTGAAGTAATGCAAAATAGTTATTAGACTTATCCAAGTGGGAGACTGTTGAATTAGTGTCTAAGTCCATAACTATTTTGGTATGTACTTGACCCGATTATGAACATGGTCCTTTTGGGTTGCCTTCACCATAGCAATATGGAGGATGAATTAAGGAGATAAAGGTTTAATTATGATTTATTAATATACTATGAGAATAATATATTAAAGGAGAAATCATATTGTTTAATTAATATTAGTCAAGAATTAATAAAGAATTAATTTTGTGGCTAAAAGAGATTAATTAAACTTAGGGGACCGGAATTGTAATTATAAGATAATTGCAATTGGGCTATGGATCACCTTGGAATAATAGGTTGGACGAATTCTATGGGGAAGCCCATTAGAAATCGTCCAATGCATGTTCCAGAAGGGGTCCATGGGATGCTTAGGGCTTAAGCAGTCAAATTAGGGTTTCCTTGTTAGATAACCCTAATTGCCTACCTATTTAAAGAACCCTTGAGACCCAAAAACATGGCTAAGTCTTCTTTTAGGGTTTCCAGCCGTTTTTGGTGCCTCCTCTCTCCTCCTTCTTCATCCAATTGCTTAGTGGTGTTTGTGACTCCATTAAAGGTGCAACACTTGAGGCACTAAGCTTTCTGAAGCCAAGGAATTGATTGTTATTGCTACATAACAATCAAGGTAAGATCTAAACCCTAGTTTATATGTTAATTTGATTAATTGTGTGCTAGATCTAGGGTTTATAAGTCTTGGAAGTTTATTGCATGTTCAAAGTAGAAAAACTAGATCCAAGCAATTAGGGTTGCATGAACACCATAGGATTGATGTTATGCTCAAAACCCATCAGTGGTATCAGAGACTAGGTCGTTTTTCTATTGAATAGATGCATAATTGAACTGCCAAAGACCTGAAAATCAAAATTTCATGCTGTCTGCCTGATGAACTCGCCGAGTTGCTCTTAGAACTCGACGAGTACCTTGAACTCGAGGAGTTCCAAAGAGGACTCGACGAGTTGGCTGTTCAGTTGCCGGGTTTTTCGAATTTTTGGTCAGATTTTGATGTGGATAATTACCAAAACTCGTTTTTATTGCCTAAAATCGATTTTTTATGTTTGGAATGATTATCCTTATCAAAATTGATGGATTTGGTTAAATATGGATAATATAGGATTATTATAAGATAAATATTTGACATTGTAAGTTTGAAAAGTTTCAATTTACACCCTTTAGGTTTATAGTTTAAATTTGAACTTAATAGTTTTGTTTTTGAAATTTAAATAGTTAAACCCTAATGTTTTGAAAAGTTTCAAAACTTGTCCTCAAGTTTTGGAATTAAAATATTTGGATTAAAAGTTAATTTTGAAAGATTTAAATTCTAAACCCTAATGTTTTGAAAAGTTCAAAACTTGCCCTCAAGTTTTGGAATTTAAAATTTGATTAAAAGTTATTTTTGAAATAGTAAATTCTAAAACGCTCGTATTTTGAAAAAGTTCAAATTACACCCTTATGGTTTTGTTAATTAATTAAAGTGTATAATTAAAAGAGAGTTAATAAATCCATAAAGTTTTTGGTTTACATTTAATTAAATTAAAGTATAATTAATTAAATTAGACCACCTAGTATTTTAAAAGTTTAAAATACACCCTATACTATGTATATATGACATTAAAAGTCTAATATTATATACGTATGAGTAAACAGTCAGTCTTACCGTTAGTAGGCCTCATTCACGAAGCTGGTCTATAAGGGGTGTTTAAGGAAATTGCCTATAAAATGGCGATTGAATGGGTATCCACTCTTACCCACCGCACTCTTGACTAGTGGAGGGTCGTTAGCCGAACGGGTAGGATAGGACGAAACCTTCCATTATAAGTATAATGAAGTACAAAGTAACTACATGCTTTTACAAATTCCCAAAACTCTAGTTACTTTCGGCAAAATGTGAAATTGTATGCTAATCCATGGAATTACACTTCGTACCTTTGTCAAACGTTAGTGGAGCGTGTGTGGTTAACCGGCACACTAATTTGGGATTGACATTGGTGGCGAAGGGTGGCTCGGTGTTTATCGTAGATCAATGGAGCGTGTGTGGCTAACCAGCACATTGATTAGGTGATAGTAGCATTGGGTGCACCACGTGATTCGCACGGTTATTCACACCTTGTTTGTGATCCTCGGCATCCCAGTCGCAAACCTGAAGGGCATAATCGAGATTAAACACGCCATTGAAAAGTTCAATGAATCTCAAAAGATCTAGGAGTTTCAATTCATTTAAAACTTAAATTTCTTTTTCGTTTTTCATGGTGGAAATTGGTAAATCGTCATTTACCTACCTTCAAATATTCTGCAACTAGATTACGGCATCCCTCTTCTAGGTTGTAGAGTATTGTGTTGGATCCTAGCCTTGATGTTTCGTTTGGGTGTTACATCAAGGATTCTAATCAACTTGACTTGAATTTCTCCCGTTTTGTAGATGTCTGAATCTAACAATGGTCTTCCCAAATCCCTTGGAACAAGTTTTCCAAATGAAGATGACATTCCACGATACGATCAAGGAACTCGAGGTCATACTTCACTTCCTCCACCTCCTCCAATTGTTCTCCCTGACCCACAAGTTCAAAGGCTTGAAAAGTTCAAGCTCACTCAAGCCCTATTGGCAAGTAAACACGAAGATGGGAAACCTGTGTGTGCACACATCTTAGAGATGAAGTCACGCATTGATAGGCTAGATCTAGGGTTTATAAGTCTTGGAAGTTTATTGCATGTTCAAAGTAGAAAAACTAGATCCAAGCAATTAGGGTTGCATGAACACCATAGGATTGATGTTATGCTCAAAACCCATTAATATGATCCAACCGTTGTGAAACCTATGGAACCCGAATGGAGGAAAGTCGACTCCATTATCAAGATGTGATTATAAGGTTGTAACATCCCGTTTATTAAATAATAAACCGGAACCCCGAGATGTAATTTTTATTATTATTTTATATTATTATAGCCCAAAATCAAATAATAATTAGCGGGATGTTAGTTTCGGGGGTTAAAGTGTAATTTCGGCACTTATTTTGAAAAGGTTTTTTAGAGGAGGGGCTATTTGGTATCATTTGGACTTAATATAAAAGAATTTATGGAAGCAGGGGTTAAAGAGTAAATATCAAACTTAAATTGAAAAGATTTTGGATGATGGGGATTGATTTGTAAATTCTAGCCTTATTATGAAAAGAAATTGGGAAGGAGGGGCCAAAGGTGTGCATTGAAGGAAAATTGGTTACGATCGGATATTAAACCCGTCACCATGCGTCAGCCACAAACCCTAACCCTAATATTCTAAGCAGCCGCCACCCTCTCCCTCCTCCATCGTCCGGCCGCCACCATCCCTCACACCCGACTCGCTTGCTGTTCCGACCAACCAAAGACCACCGGTCGTCGCTCTTCTCCTTCTCTTTCTCCAGTCGCCTTGTCGAGATCGATCACCACCATTTAGCGTCGCTGCTGTCGAGTCATACTCCGGTGGAGGCGCAACCTCCCTTCCCCGCTGCAACGGCCTTCTTCTACGACTTCTGTCACTGTTGTTGAAGCCGTAAGATCACCGAGGAGCCATCGTGTTGTCTCACCGCCGATGAAGACGGAAATGCCGCCACCTGTCGTGTTCAGTCGAAGGGATCAAAGGCCGACAACCATGGAGACTATGGTGATTCGTGGTTGTGATGAGGTTGCGTGTGCGAGTGTGGTTTTCTGTCCAGTAGGAGTCATGAAGAACCACCATGGCAGCCAGCCATGGTGGCTGCTACCGATGACGAGTTGATACCGCCGATTGCTGCCGCTAACGCCACTTCAAGTCGCCGCCACTGTTTGCTGCCGTAAGGTGGGTGATTGTGCTCATTTCCCGGGCAACAGATGGATGTGTGTTGCGTGATCAGGAAGCAGAAGTGAACCACCACCACCGTGAGGTGGTGGCTGTCACCCTCTACCACCGTCGGCCACCACAAGGTGGTTGTGTGTGTGTGTATTTGTTTTTATTAGTGTGTGTGTTATTTGGATTGTGTTGTAAATTGTAATAGTGTCGGAATAATCAATAGAAAAAACTCATAACCACCACCAGCCGTCGAGTTGGGTGGCGGTGTGCCTCGTTTGCGTTTTGACTCGTTTGGGATGCTTGGACAAAATGGGCCTAATGAAACCCTAGTGGGCCCAATGAAACCCTAATGGACCCAATGAAGCCCTAATTGACCTAAAAGCCCAACCATATGACTACTGGGCTAGTATTGGGTTGGAAACCCTAATTATGGTTTGCAAAACCCTAATGTCATGAAACCCTAGGTTTGTGATTGATCGGGACCGCACTGGAACTATTTAATAAAATTAAAATCTTTACTATATTATTAAGGATATTGCCCATTTCTTGAAATTTAAGAGGTACTACACCTCCTGCATAATATACAATCAATTTATTCATACCTTTTAATACTCCTATCACATTTCCGTTTTACAAATTAATTGCATTAAATATTCACATTTTCGTTTGACAAATTAATGGCATTAACATTGACATTTTATAAATTAAATCAAAAAAGTAAACATACTATTTTTCTCTTCTATCCTCTACACTCGCATTTTCCCTCAAACAAATAGCAAAAACCCTATTTTGAAAAGCCGACATCGCACCTCATCCGCCTAACTCATCGTCATCATCACCATCGGTAGTGAATCACCACCCACTCTCCAACCTCGCACCACTCACTGTATCTGTATCTGATCGCCGTCCTCGCCACCTACTGTGCTCTCGCAACACTTTTTCGGTGACAAGAAGCTACCATGCTCTCTCTTTATCTCCTCTGTCCTCTACACTCGCACCACTCGCTTGATATTACTTTGAGGATTAGCAGCTTTCAGATGAGATCCAAGCACTCTATCAGCCGTAAGTTTTTTTTTTTTTTTAAATGCAAATTCGAAGTTGAAATTGTCATGTTCAAGAGAAATGAATCTGAAAAAGGGGCTCAATGAAGATTGAATTTGATGTCGGAATTAATGTGCAAATACAGATTCTTTGTTCCAGTTTTGATGTCAAACCTAGCTCTTTCAAATTATTACATGTTCGAGGGTCGTCTGTGTGTCTCTAGCCTCAAAACCCACGTCTGTATAAGGTCAAAATGCTTAAGGGTATCGGTAGTCACCCAAGGCAAAGTTATGTTTTTGAGGTTTCAACTTTGCTGGTATATTGGTTCTCTCGGAGTGTTAATTTGGTAATAGTAATGCCGAAAACACGTGTTTTATGAATTGCTGATGAAACAGGTGACTTTTTGAATTTGTTTGCTTGTTGCTCTTCTTGTTGAACCCTAACTTCAATTTTACAATAAGAAACAACCTTTTTGACATCAGAAGCGAAACTTTCTTTGGCATTCCTAGACCCTGTTATACTCTTTTAAATAAAAAGAGTTGATTTTGTTCATGTACATTTCAGTAAACACTTATTTGTACATGTAAAAATGCAAATATATTGAAAGAATGAATCATATGCTGATAAAGTAAAAAGAAATTGGTATTTAAAGCTGCATATTTTCAATTCAAGATGGATAATCAGTACCAGAGAGATGTCATTTCCAGCTTTCTTAATTTGATTGTAGAGATGTGGTGCTTAGGATTTGAACATTACTGATTATATTGTTATCTGAAATTCATCTATGATTTATCCAAACAAAAACAGTTTTACAGACTTTATCATATTCCTACAGGTGCTCAAAATGTGAGCTCTGAAAGGCCACTTAGGCAATTCGTTACAGGTAAAGACAAGTCAGCTGGTAGAAATTCAAAGGGTCGTATCACAATTTTCCACAGAGGGGGAGGGGCAAAACGGTTACAAAGAACAATTGACCTAAAACGCAACACGTCATCAGTAGGTGTAGTTGAACGAATCGAATACGACCCAAATCGCACTTCACGGATCGCAGTGGTCAGATGGGTCGAAGGGGCAGCCGTTGACCGCCCGAAAAAAGTCAACTCCCTCCAAAAAAACTTCATCCCACCCCCAAGATCCTACCCTCCATCTCCATCAAAGGTCAGTTTTCATTCTCTTCAATTCCCGGAATGTTAGAAGACAAAAAGGTGGAATCTTTAAGGCCTAAAACAGATCATGTAGTGGTTGGACTTTCAAAAGGTAGTAGGACCTTGAGTAGTCAAAGTCAAAGTCAAACGGGGACCCACATGAGAAATGTTAAGGATGTTTTCTTGTCTGCTTTTTCATCTTCAAATGGGAAAAAAAGACATGATGCTCCTTATTCGTTTGTGAACGTGTTGGGTGTTCCAAGAATGGCGGTGGCAGGGGCAAAACCGGAATTTTTTGTTCCAAGAATGAAAGATGATGTGAAAGAGAATGAAAGTCTGTTGCTTAATGAGGTAAAAAGGTGGGATAAGGATAGTGTTGTGTGGGGGCATAAGATGAAACGAAAAACAGTTGTTTCTTGGGAGAGTTTGAGACAAAGGGGGATTTTAGGGGTTGTTAATGAGTCAGAGTCAAAGTCAAAGGCGAGAGAAAGTGAAAAGGTGGAAAAAGATGGGAAATTTGGAGTGGATCGAGCTCCTGTGAGTTATATATTGGCTACCTAAGTGTCGATTTATCTGTTGCCTAAGTGTCGTTTTATCTGTTACCTGTCTGTTGTGACAAAAAAACAACATAAATCATAATTATATTGAAAAAAACAAATATTTAATCGGGTTTGTAATCAAGAGTGTACATTTATATATTATTATTTTAACATTTGCACAGTTTGACATAATCGAGTTTGTAATCAAGAGTGTACATTTATATATTATTATTTTAATTATACTGATAATTGTTTATATGTAGTAAACTATTTGTGCAAAAGAATTAATCGTCTCTACAATTTAATTTTTGAATAAAATATCCGCACCCGGCGCTTGGCGCGGGTAAACGGCTAGTATTAATTAATAATCATTGGCAATTTAACCTAAGGCAATATTGGACTTAATGGATTAAGTCCTTAATAGGTTAAGTAGGAACACTTAACCCTAATCGTCATTTCATGTGAAAACCCTAATTTCTCTTGGGCCTTGAGTTGGGCCTTCCTATTGGGTTTTGGTGATTGGACTATTGATGGGCTATCCAAGAACAAGTAAATGGACCAAAATAATTGGATGAGTTTTAGGATGAGGCCCATGTGAAGGACTTGGGCCCAATTTGGAAAATTGGGTCATAGGTGGGCCATAATTAGGCCTTGATGATTATGTGATATTGGGACATGGGAATACCGAGAGTTTGGAATAGAATAATTGGATGGGCCTTAAGGAATGACCATGTAGAGGTCTGGGCGCAATTTGGAAAATTAGGCCATATGTTGGGCTTTGGCCCATTACTTGACTTTTGGGCCTTTGGAGTGTGAGTTGTACCTTGGGCTTGGAACCAATTATTAATTGGGTGTAATTTGATGTTGACAGTTCGGGAATCTGTCAACTAGCAGCTGGAGTTTTATCTGCGGGACTTCAGCATTGCCAGGTGAGTTATCCTCACTATATCAACAGGGTCGAAGGCACCAATGTCGGCCCTTATCGGATTTGTATCTGGGTTATTGCATGATATGCTTATTGATTTACATCCTGGTAGTTGGGATGGTGATATGCTTAGTGACATGGTTAGGTCGGTATCCTGGTATATAGGATGATGCTATGTTAGTGATCGGTTAGGTCTGTATCCTGGTTATAGGATGTTGCTATGCTTGATGATCTGTTAGATCGGTTTGACTGTTATATATGCTAGCGTATGATATTATGTGCACATGTTTGTTTGAATGGGGAATGGGTTGAGGCAGGTCCTGCTTCGTGCTGTAGGCCAAGATACCCAGGGCGGTCCGGATAGACTATAGACCCAGGAGGGTATGTCAGTCAGACCGAAGGCCCGACGAGCGGTCCGGATAGGCTGTAGGCCCTGCGAGGCGGTCCAGACGTGCCGAAGGCTCGGAGAGCGGTCCAGATAGGCTGAAGGCCTGCGAGGCGGTCCAGTCAGGCTGAAGGCTCATTATGCATGTTGTTTGCTTATATGTTTATATGATATGGTTATATCTATATGGCGTTGGTATTTTGGGGGTAACTCACTAAGCCTTCGAGCTTACATTTATTGATTATTGTTTCAGGTATTTCTGATGATCGCGGGAAGGCGAAGGCGTGATTGTGCACCTCCTTATATTTTCATGATTGATTATGGGGACACTCTGATGTTTAAACTATTTTGAAAACAGACTGTAATAACTTAATGGTTTTAAATGTTTTAAATAGTTTTAAATTGGTTTGAATTTTATGGGTGTTACAAAGGTACCATTTCTCAACCACTTCTTCAAATGGTACTAAAGAAAGAATTTGTCGTTCGATTGAATTGTTTAATATCGAACTATTCTTACATGACAACAAAGATGCTAAAGTTATGCAACTTGATAACGAGCTACATAACATATCCATGGGAGACCTCTCGTTTACGATGTATTGCTAAAAGATCAATGGAATCACCGACCTCCTTGAGAACCTAGACTCCAACTCATCTGTGTCGGACAAACACCTAGTCATTTACCTGATCAATGGCATGCCATCACTTTTAGCTATGTTGTGAATATCATTCGACACTGATCCTTGTTTCCAATGTTTTTTCGTGGCCTAACCCATGATTATTCTTGATAAGCAGCATATGTATTTATCTCGTCCAATGTCATTTATGTTAAATTTTCTATGCATCTATACACACAATCAAGGCAGCAGAACCAAAAATAGAATACATATGTGTACATGCACCCTAGGATCTAGGTATTACTAATTATAGCAACCTACTTTATAATTGTAAATCAACTAAGTAAAGAAGGAATTACTAACCTCTTTTGTAGCTCGATCTTGATCTTCTTGAACACTTCATGAATATTTAATGTGACCGGTGAGGGTTATATACCCTAGGTTACTGAGAATCTGTATATTGGGCTAACAGTTTACGGGGTTAAGTAGTTAGGTGAATATAATCGGAAATTTGATTAGTTTGGTAACAAATGGTTACCGAGTTTTTGTTAGTGATTAGAAAAATTATCATTTTGGTTGATATAGTGGTAAGTTTAGACAAGTTCTAATGAACTTGATATATTGTCCAACTAGGTCTGGATAAGTGATGGATGGGAAAGCGGTAAAGAGCTTCAGCTCGGAATCATAGTTACTTTCACCAACTAACCTCGAGAGTAACTATACTCTAACACCAAATGTTTATTAATGTGTATTGTTACACGAATATGAGGATTAAATATACTATGATATTGTTATATCATATATTGTTGGAGCGATAGAATGTTGTAGTGTGACGAAATGAACTTATGCGATAGTTGTTTTATGGAACAAAAAATGAATGTGAGATACTTAATTTGGACGTAGAATCCTCAAAGGTGTGGTTATGAAATTAGTGAAACATTGGTTATTTTGATAGTATTTTTATGTGATTACTTTTATATTAAGTGAGAACAACAACTAATTAGTATAATTTTCATTAGCATATTAATGGGGATATATATGTTGGTTGATAAGTTAAAATATTAAATGATGTTGCATGTTGTTATGTTATTGTAAATGTTATTCACTAAGTCTTATGGCGTACGATGTTTGTTTATTGTTGTGTTGCAGGTTAGGATGGCATAGCCCCCAGCTCGAATCATGTACTTAATGTCAGTATGATTCTTGGTGATAACTTATTGTATTCCAATATGCTAGTGTACACCAAAATGTCTTATAAAGTTATTAATAAAATAAGTTTTTTTGGGGTGTACCTAGTATGAAAAATCTAGGCGTTACAATGACAAACTTAGTATATGTAATGCTATACATGTAGATTGATATTAAAGAACCACAAGTCAATGACAAACTTGGTACCTGAAACATTATACTTGTGAATTGTTAAAAAAAAGAACTAGTGGTGTGCTTAGTGTTGTAAATTACCACTACAATGGAATTGGTTATTAGTGGTATGCTTAGTGTTGTAAATACGATTGTATTGTATTCAATGCAAGTATTGATTGTAGTGGTATGCTTAGTGTTAGAGATACTGCTATAACGGAATATTCTTAGTCATGATAGTCTTGGTGGCTGTGATATTATGGATTCGTCATTAGTGGTGGTATTGGTAACTGTAACACCATGAGGATTGAGGACTTGTAAATGCTTGTAGGTTAGTATTGCATTAAAATGCGGTGAAGTTTTTCGAATTTCTTGCAACTTTCACCCAAAAGTAAAAAAATTTCACAAAATTTGGAATATTTTATTGACTTTTCGTGATTGTTTTTCGTGCAAGATTTTCACGGTTTCATTTTTGGCACACATCAAGGGGGAGATTCGTCAAGTTTATTCCTCGAGCTTCTCAACCTTTGTGGGTTTTATAATCACTTGTTGATTATAAAAAGGGGGAGATGTAGAAATGGATATTCAAAGCTTCTCAGGTATTCATTTACGGATTGGAAGACCAGTGTTACTTTGAGGGGGAGATGGTCTAGTTCTCGTAAGCTCATTTGGAAACTGAAGTTGGGACATCCAATCCTAACTTTGAGGGGGGGGGGTGGGATGTTAGGGTGCAAAGCTCTCCTTGGATGTGGCTTACCCTATTGTATGTGTAAATGGGTTGGGTCTTTCATATAGTTAGGAAGTGAGTGACTCCCATCATGTATGACCCATTTTGTGAGTGTTAGTTTAGTGAGAGAAATAAAAAAACCCACTTGTACTTTTACTATTCTAATGGAGCTTAAATGATTTTATTTACTCATTGTGTTCTCGATGTTTAAATGATTCACTAGATCTTTTCAATTCTGCACATGTCATCATAATCAGGATCACTACACCCATACCCAGAAAACAAAATGTACAATGTATATATTTTGGCGATAGGTTGACACATCCATTGAACTTCAACTGATAAAGCTCAAAACTTTCGAAGAACCTCAACTATGGACGATGAACGAAATGACCATTAATCGATAATGCCTTGACATCTAATCCAGTGACCCGATACACTACTTAACAAAACCCATTTGGAACTAAAGATACCAAGCTCTGAAGCTGATTTACCGA